TTGTCTGTATACTGTTATTGGCTAAGATACAATCTTTGGTTGGGAATAATTTTTCCTCATAATTCTGAAGGCATTCCATCATTGTCACGTAGCTTACAGTATTTCTTTTGAGGAGTTCAGTGCCCTTTTGACTCCTAATCCTTTCTACTTGACCTGTACCCCCAAGGCTTTTAGGGTCTTCTCTCGATCTCTGTTGCTGAGAAGTTTCCTACTAATGTGCCTTGATGTAGGTCTTTTCCCCATTTACTGTATTTTGGGCCCCAAACACTTGGTAGGTCTCTTTATTTGTATTTGGGCTTCAGTTCCTGGAAATTTTAGAATTTCTTTAGTACTCTTTTCTCCCATCCATTTTCTCATTTTTCTTTTCTTTTTTTTTTTTTTGAGAACTCCTAGTAGTTGGATGTTTGACACCTCCACTGCTACCCTGATTTACTTCTTTTTACCCCTCTTTTCCATTGCTTTGAGTTTTTTGCTTTATATTATGTTGAAGCTTTTTTTCTTCTGTTGGGTCAGTTTCCCCAGAGTGGAATCCTGGGAGGTAAGAGCTTGGCTGCGAATGTCTGGGATGGGAGCTGGCTTAGCCCTCTTTTCAATAAACAGCTTTTACTTCTTCCACTGTGCTGGTGCCTGCCTAGCTGGGTGTCCCCAGGTTGTTACTCTGGTTGAATTTCTGTAAGTAGGGACCAGTTCTGGCAGAGTCTCGAAGGGACAATCTCCTGTTCCTAGGATGGGGATCTTAATTGCTCCTTATGCAAAAGAGTCTTCTGTTTGGGTACCCCCAGACTTCATAAGTACCTGGCACCTCCAATTAAAATTCTTAAGAGTTGTCTGTTCATTTTCAGCATCTCCCCTGCATACTGTAGGTTTCAGTTTTCTCTTGTCTGCTAGGTCATTTGCCACTTCTCTATCTGCTTTCCTGCTTCCAGCATTTTGTTGACATGCTGTTTGAATGCATTAGCCTTCTCTTTCTCTTTTTCCTTGTAACTTCTTTTTAAAAAAGGTTTTTTTAATTTATTTTGAGAGAGAGAGAGCATGAGTAGGGGAAGGACAGAGAGAGGGAGGGAGGGAGGGAGAGAGAGAGAGAGAGAGAGAGAGAGAGAGAGAGAGAGAATGAGAATCCCAAGCAGGCTCTGTGCCATTAGCACAATTGAACTTGCAAACTGTGAGATCATGGGCTGAGCCAAAACCAGGAGTGGGTTGCTTAACTGACTGAGCCACCCATGTGCCCCTGTCCTTGTAACTTTAAAATTCATTTGTTGTCTTTTAAAATTCATTACTTGTCTTTTTAGAGGATTGCAGGAGGTAGTGAAGAGAAACACGTTTAATTACAAGTCCTATACGAGAAGAGAGAGACAGAGCACTAGCAGAGGAGAGGCAGAGAGAGGGAGATCCAGAATCTGAAGCAGGCTCCAGGCTCTGAGCTGTCAGCACAGAGCCCATTGCAGCGCTTGAACTCACGAACCGCGAGATCATGACCTGAGCCGAAGTCGGACACTTAACTGACTGAGCCACCCTGGTGCCTCTGTCGTAGATGACTGTCTTTGCATCCTATCTACTCCCCTCTGTGCAGAAAGCACAGAGTGAAGAAGCCAGCTCTCTCCCGTCTCTTCTTAAAAGGGCACTAATCCCATCAGGAGGGCCCACCCTCATGCCCTGATTACCACCCAGAGGCTCCATCTCCAAATGCCATTACATTGGGCATTAGAGTTTCAATATATGGATTTGAAGGAGGGGGGACAGAAACATTGACTCCATAGCACCCAGTGTGATTTTTATATGATTTCTTTCTGTAGCTTGTATATATTTCGTGTAATCTCTGCTTATGTATCTGAGGTTCTTGGCCACGGCACTGTGCTCTCAGGAGAGGCCTGAAGTGTACTATTGACTACTTCACCGTAACCCTGTGTTTCCCTCCTGAAAATGAGTATCCCAGGATGTGCAGACTTAATAATTTTTCAAAATGTACTCAAGCCTGACTCAACATTTAATGTGGGGAGGCCTCTGTTGGTCTTTTCAGACATGAAAAAAGTTCTTCAAAAGTTACTATAGTCAGGGCTTGTTTTTTTCTTTTACTACCTTTTTTGGAAGGTTTTCTTATATTCTTCATCTGGTGAGGAGCAGGAAGAAAGATTTTCTTTTACTGTATTTTCTTCTTTATTAAGGTTCTCTTCCAAGCACTTAGGTTGTTCTGTAGAGCCTTCATTTTGTATGATTTCATATCCACACCAGGTAGCCAAGTGCAAGGATTCTTGTGTCTGTGCCCCTCATATCTGCTGTGTTAGTAATGTCCACGTCTGTGAGGTACATTCGTCTTTCTTTTTTGTGTTTCTGTCCTATCAGCTGCCTTTAAGTAATCTATTTTGATATTCATTCAACCTTAAAGGGAGATTTTGATTAAGAAAATAGTTATTTGATCACAGGAAGGTGATATATAGTTTGCCTCCGTTATTCATTCTCATAGTTGTACGTTGACTAGCAGATTGCTCTAGCACCGTCCACGGTTTAGATGACTTATAAGGAAAACTAATTCACATCTTAGAATTATCTTCTTGGCTTCCTGAAGTGTTTTTGGAGAACTTTAATTTTTTTAGTTGTGTAAGAGCCAAACATTTTTGTTTGTTTAACAGATAAGTCATTATAAATGTTGTTATTCGAATATGCCCCTTTTTGTGATGAATCCCAGCACCCTTCATGGCCTGTTCCAAAATACTGACGCTCCTGAAAGCCCTGGCCATCCCTCACAAAATCTTTTTCTTCCTCTTTCTCCTCCTCCTCCTCTTAACTAATCTCTGCATGCAACATGGGGCTCTAACTCAAAACCCTGATATCAAGAACTACATGCTCTACCAACTAAGCCAGCCAAGCGCCCCTCTCACGAAATCTTCTAACTCCAAATGAATCCTGTCTTCTCGGTGATTCATGCTTAGAACACTCCTCTCAGAACCTGGTTTACCATTTTATTATTTGTCTGTCTGTGTGTATAGTTTGTTTTTACAAGTATATTGTAAACTCCTTAAGGTGTGTGGATTGAATCAGTGGGTTTTCAATGTTCCTTTTTTTCCTCAGGCTTCCTAAGGGGTAGATCACACTGTCTTCTGTAGCTGTGGCTCATGGTTAGGGGCGGTGTCTCCAAGTATGTAGAAAACTCCCTCAGGTGGTTTGATACGGCTCCCTGCCCTCCCTAGGGCATTTTATAGTGCCACTTACTTGTAATACTTAACATCAGGCCTTATACTCTGGGTGTTCAGGAAGTATTGTTGATAGAATGGGACCCTTGGCAGGTGTTGGTATGACAGCAAGAGTAGTGGCCTGGAGAGGTTTTGTCTCACACCCTCCCTCCCACCTTTTACTTGACAATTGCAGGTAAACCAGTCTCTATGTCTATAGTCTGCTGTTTTCTCAAATGGAAAATGAGGACACTGTTACATCAAGGACTTGATGTTAAAAATCTGTTATGTGTTTGTTTTCCTGAAATCAAATTAAATATAATTCTGTGCTGGTGCAGTTTCTAAGAAAATGTTCACAGTTCAGGAAACTTTAACCAGTTCATGGTTAGTGAGAAAAGATTTTTGAGATTGTTTTTACTACTTTCCAAATTTTAAAGTAATCTTTTTATGAAGTATTGGTAATGGTGTCCCTCCCCCCCCCCCACCCCATCTAATTTGGCAGTATGAAAGGTTGGCAACCTTATCTTTGTCTTTATAATTTGAAGGAAATTTTATTTATCTGTTAAATCCAGAAGTCAGAGATAACATGCTTTTTTATACCTTAAAATCTGTGACTCCCCTTTGGGGACAGGTTTCTATATATTTGTTAGCTCAAGCTTGTAAATATACCTTTTCAAAGTCTCTGTCTTTACTAATATGTATTTTGTCTGCTTAAATTATTAGTTTCTGATAGAGGTATGTTAAATCTCTCCTTGGAGTTGACCGTTTCTCAAATGGTCAGTTTTTACTTGGGTGTATTTTTGAGGTTGTGGTGTTGAGAGTATTCAAATTTATGAATGTTAATGTTCTTGGTGGATTATTCCTTTGATTGATATGTAATGTGTCTCTTTATTCCTCTTAATACTTTCTTTTCTTTACTCTGATAAATTTTGACTTTTAATTGTGGGATGACAGTTTGAATAAGTAGATTGATTTCTCCTATCTGGATTTCATATTTTCTTATCTTTTATCCTGCTGCTTTTTTTCCTTCTGTTAGAGTCCTAGTTTTCTGCATTCCCTTCCCTTTTTCTTCCTTCTTGGTTTGGAAGCCATAGATTGTGTTTCTGTTCTTTTCGTGGTTACCATTAAAATTTTCAGCTACAGTGTTTTCAACAAAACCGGCAGCCCATTCCAACTTCCTTGTGAGGAACTCTGCTCTGGTACCCGGTCACTGACTGGGGAGCACTTTGAGCTTCATTTCCCTCCTGAGGAGATGTTTATCTCATGTATGGTCTCACCTTTGTCTTTTTTCTCTTGTCTACCGTTGTCTTTCATGGCTGTGTATTTAGAGGAGGGGAGGTTTTCCCAGAGTGAACTCACTGTACCAGCTCTGCTCTACCCATTTTTCCTCCCTTTGGTCCACATACCTGTGCATCGTAATCACTAACTACTTGCTGATACATTTTGTTCCTTCTGTTTGTTTTAGTGTTAGCCACTTTTTTTCAGCTTCAGATGGAAGGAAGAGAAAGAACAGGAGCACCCAAACCTGTGGGAGGCCTTTTCACAGGCTGTCCGTATCAGGCTTGGTGAAATGCTCAGGGTTAAGAGGAGGAAAATACAAAGAACTTAGTGCTGGACAGAGCGACTGTAGGGCCTTATTGTGAAGTGGTCATCTTTCCCAATTGTATTCCCATTGTGGACTGGCTCCATTTTGTTCGATTTGTTAGCTGTTTTGCTCTGTCAGCATTAAAGCATTATAAAGATGCCGCTTATTTTTGTGGGAAACGGGAGGGCTTCGCTGCATGTTTCAGCTCTGATGATGGCGACTGAGTTTTGCAGGCCTTCCTGTTCTAGCCCAGCGCTTGCTAGGACAGGTCTGCGACGGAGGCGGTTCTGAAGAGTGCCAGGCTAGAGATGAGTTTAGTGTCCGGATGTGTTTCACAAATTACTCCACCACCTTCCCCTTTTGGGGGATTGACGTTTATTATGCAGAGAGGAGGTAGCTGATCAAACCAGTAAACCTGCTAGCTCCTGGTGCTGCAAGATTGAGAACTTAGTTCTCTGGCTAGTAAGCGATTTTCAGGCATTAAAAAAAGCATGGGGAAAGAATTTAGCAGTTTGGGAGGATAAATAGGGATTGGCAGGTAGGAGGCTGATGTCCTTCATAATCTTCCCCAGGGTTAGCCCTTTTAAAGCATCATTATCCACACGCTATGTAAAAGCACTGTGTGTGTGTGGGGGGGGGGTGTGGGTGTGTGTGTGTGGGTGTTAAGTGGTTGTGAGATGAAGAGAGTGGGACTGAGCTGGGATGCAGAACTCTCTGTCAGTGATGTCAGTCTGGAAATCGGACACTGCCTGTTAAGTCAACTTCTATTGGGTTGAGTGTTTATTGTAAGATGAGGAATGGGAAGCGTTTATTGGTGGATTTCTGAAGGCCAAACTTGGGAGCCAGGCCTTGGCTGTGGTAGCTGTGTTGCCAGAAAGAACTTTGTATTCATTTGTGCTCCCTGGTGATAAAACAAAAGGGATCTGGTAAAGCTCTTAAATTTGACCCTGGTGTTTTGTAGTTTTGACATTTGTTTGACTCTTCCGGTTTAGCTCTCTGGATTATACCTAAAGGAAGGCTTTCTGGATGAGAGACCCAATGTCAAGAACTCTTAGTAGGTGCAAATTTCAAAGAAGCTGTTTGATACAGCTTTCAGACCCCCTCTAGGTACAGTGGTGAACACGTTCTTTTAGTAAGTGGGGTTGTCGGGCAGTTTGATTGTAAGGCTTACTTGATTAGTCTGGCTTCATGGAAATAAGGATGCCTAGCAAATGTCTGCTTATATTGTAGAAGGAAAATGATACTGAAATCTTGCCCTCTCCTACAAGTAGATAATTTCAAATCATAAAGATCTTTTATTTTTCCATTTTAAAGAATAAACATGCCTGTTGCCATATTATTTGGATTTAAAAATGATCTGTTGTAGATAGTTGTGTTTTCTAACCATAAAATTTTAGGCAGAGTAGGATTGTTAGGAGTATTTATGCTATTTCCTTTTTTTTTTTTTTTTTTTTTTTTTTTTTTTTTTTTTAATCCTTGAACAACAAGAAAATTGGGACATAGTTTTGGTTTAGGTAAAGGGAAAAGTTTTGGTTTAGGAAAGACAGCCTGTCACTGTTGAGCTCTACATTTTGGAGAGGCTTTCTGTGTGCTAGGCACTCTATAGGGTTCTGGGGTAAGGAGATGGTCTCTGCCTTAGGAAACTTGGATCTTTTTTTTTATTTAATTTTTTTTAAATTATTTATTTATTTTAGAGAGAGACACAGAATGCACGTGGGGAGGGGCAGAGAGAGAGAGAGAGAGAGAGAGAGAGAAGGGGACACAGAATCCGAAGCAGGCTCCAGGCTCCAAGCAGTCAGCACAGAGCCCGATGTGGGGCTTGAACTCATGAGCCGCGATATCATGACCTGAGCCAAAGTCGGACGCTTAACCAACTGAGCCACTCAGGCACCCTGGGTACTTGGATCTTAAACCAGTGTCTTCTAGTTCCCCAAGATCTTACTAGAAAAAATGACCTGAACAGTGTGTCCTGTTCAACTTCAGTTTGAGAAGCACAAGATTAAGCATAGTTAAATGGGTTTCTTTATTGCAGTGCTTATAAAAGTGTAAGAGAGATATGTGAATTGTGAATTTCTGAGCAGGAGCTATCCTAAGCAACATTCCTAAAACTTGAAATAGTAGGATTTTAATGTCTCCCTTAATGGACTACTAATCCTATGACTATTTTAAGCATTCCTTACCTGTATTTGTTGTATTTAAGAGGAGTGATTTCCAGGGGCGCCTGGGTGGCTCAGTTTGTTAAGTGTCCCAACTCTTGATTTTGGTTCTGGTCATGGTCTCACAGTTCCGTGGGATCAAGCCCTGCATGGGTGCTGAGCCTGCTTGGGATCTTCTCTCTCCTTCTCTCTCGTTCCATCCCTCCTCGCTCTCACAAAATGAATAAATAAACTTTATACGTACATACATACATACATGTATGTATGTATGTATGTATATATAAAAAAAGTAGTGATTTCCGAAGGTAGTTAATCATCAGAATCACTTTGGGTGTTTAGAAATGAAAAAAAAAAAATCCAGCTTGTGAGTGGATAATATGTTTATGTGCTTTAAAATTCAAAAAGTGTACGTTGGCACACAGTGAAAAGTCTGCCTCCCTGCTCTGTTCCCTAACTGCCTACTTCCTTTTCCCATAGGTGACTAATGTTATTCCTTCCAGAGATACTTCATGTGTGTGCCATAACTTACTTAGCTAAAATATAAACCATAGGGCCTTGCATTTGGAGATTTCTGGTTTAGTAGGTTTGGGTGGAACCTGGGAATATGTCTTAAAATGTTCCCTAGAGATTGTGATGATGAGCTAGATTTAGGCACTATTATTTAAGATGGTACATGTTACTTTTACATGTGGTGTGTTACCCAGTTTGTAAGACAACTTTCTGAAACAGATATGATAACAAGCATTTTTGGCAGGGGTGGAAAATTGAGAGCAGATGTTAAATGACCTATTCAAGGTCATGTTCTTTTTTTTTTTTTTTTTTTTTTTTTTGATGGTGGAGCTGAGACTCAAAACCCGGGGCTGTTTGCAGGTATCTAGGTAGGACAAGGCTGCCACTCAATGTGACTTTATGGCCACCTTTATGGCGGTGAATGGCTAAATAGCAACAACAACAAAACCAGACAAAAAATTAATACAGGCATTTATATCCAGTTCTTCCTGTTTTGGTATTACCTGAGTTAGAGTGTTTTGTTTGATTACTTGCCAATAAATGTCCAGTGATTAGACTTTCTCTAGTTTGTATTTTAAGGCACTGAGCCCATTAGATTCGTGTTACCAACTTCAGGCGCTTAAATAGGAGGTTGCACACCGACTTTTATCTGTAATTTTGCTTCCTCATGAGCTGTCTCTCTCCCTTCCCTTTGCTTCCAACTTCCTTTTGGCCCATTTAGGACTTTTCCCTAACACCAACCCAGATTAAACCATCAAGGAGGGAGGGGGGGAAAAGAAGGAGACTGCTCTCTGGGTGAAGGGGACTGAGAGAGTATCCTAGGCTGAAAAGTACTGAGTGATTTTCCTCACTGTTTGGTCAACTCTTTCTGTAGATGATTCTCCAAGAGTTTCATAAATTCCTCATGGTCTTGCAGGGCCATTTGAATTAGGGCAGAGACTCCAGGGGGTTATTTTGTAGGACAACATTCCTTTGGTGTATTTTTAAAAACCTGGTCTTATAATATTGGTCACATAAGAGAATATATAAAAATCTTTAAAAATAGCTATGAATCCATCATTTTGAGGCAGTGTGCAACTCAGAGCCAAGACATATGAATGTCTATTCATTGGTTCAGCCACCCATCCATTGGCACACAGTTACTAGGGATTTGGTCTGTGCCAGGTCCTGGGGACTTAGAGTTAGTAAAACATGCTTCTTGCCTTCATACAGTTTGTCAGGCTGCAAAAGAGGCAAATACTTCATCAAACAAGTAGTTACATCATAGGAAGTGTTCTGGAGGAAGTGTGCCCCCCAGGTATAAAGTAGGATTCAGAGAAATGCCTAGGTTAGTGTGGAGTGAAAGGTAAGTTAAGGTTTCCCAGGTTGTTTCAGCCTAGCCTTGAGGGGCTCGTAGCTAGATGTGTAGAAGGCAGTGGCATGTAGTTACTCTAAGCTGAGGAAATAGGTGTGTTTAAAAAAATAAGAGAGTAGTTTATGAGTATAATCTAGTTAAGGAATTGTGAGAGGATAGTGATGTTTGGAGTATAGAATGCTCTGGAAGAGCGAAGAGATGAAATTAGAGAGGTAGTAGGGGCAAGAAGAGGAATTTTTCATGCTTTTTGAAATAAAAACCCATGCACAAGAAACAAAGGAATTATTGTGCACATACAGATTTCTAACACCAAGAATTCCCGGACTTCGCTCTCATTCTCTGGAGCCCATTCCCTGGATCCTCAGGTTCCTCCTACCCTTGATCTCAGGATTAGAGTTGGGCCCTATTTAGGTTGGCAACCAGTTAAGCCAGAACTTGGTTTGAGCTGCAAAATATAGCAGGCTCTCTGAGGATATAGAATATAGTTCAGTAATGATAATGGTTGCCATTTATTGAGCATTTAAATGCTTAGTTCTTTCCAAGGTAAATCACAAAATTAACGTTAACCCTATAGCAGCACTACCAGACAAGTGGTTTTATCCCCATTTAACAGACCAAGAAACCTTCCAAGTTCTGGGAGGTTAAAGTAAGTTTGCCCGAAGTTACAGAGCCAGTTAATGGTAGGGATGGAATCAAACCCAGGTTGGTTTGTCTGACACCGCAGCTCATCCTCCCCTCCCCCCTTCTCACAAGACTGCAGCTGTGGTTCCTAGGGCAGATGGAATGGCAGCTCAGGAATGTAAGATGACCATTTCAAAAGCAGTGAAACTATTTCATCTTTGATGTTAATGTTATCAAGATCCTTGGTTATGAATATAATCTCCTAATTGTCTTGTTTCTCTGGGAAAGTCAGATTTCATTACAGGTATTTTACTTCAGTTTACAGTTCTATCTCAGGGATCAAATAACTTGCCAAATGTCAGTAGTTGTCCTGTGATGTGTATCAGTTGTCTCATGACACATTCGATTTGTATGTAGAGTTAAAATTGGGATTATAATGATTTGAATACATTAGCTGCATCTGGCAGATGCTTTAATGAATGATGTTGCAGATATTCAGAATGTAGATATGGCCTAAGGGTAAAGAAAACCAAGAATTTTCTCTTGAATATTTGGCTGGCTGCTAGGCTTTTTGGATGGGGGCTCAAAAGAAGTCTTCTCAACCTGTTTAGTATAGTTTGATTCTTGTAGGTGTGTATAGTCTTGTTGTTTAACCAAGTTGGAATTAGAAGGACTTAAGCAATTGTCAAGAAGAATTAATGTATAAAGGCTGTATCTTGTATCTTTTTCTACCAAATTTCTTGTCCATTTGG